TGTGTGATGTCAGCATACGGGAACACCAGATGGTTGAAATTTTTGAAGCCCTCCACAGTGGTATCTCTCATAATCGTGTCATGGTTTTATTATTTATTACAAAACTTGGAAAATCTTGATTGCAGAGGCTGCTGGAGAATTTGAAGACAGGTGGCAAGTGCTGTGATTCAGTCAGGATGAATTTCTATTTGTCAATAGAATTGGCTGCATTAAATTTCAGAGCTTACTCTACCTATAGATTTCTCATGTGGACAATTGTTGTTCCTTACTTCTTTAGTAGAGTACTGTAGTGGAGGTCTTGTCTTAAAATTACAGAATTTATTGAGCTATCGATGTATACTAAATATATTAATAAGTTTGTTTCTGAAAAATACAACAAATAAATCATTCAAAAATGGATGCGGGCATAAAAAGAAACAGTGCATATCCTTGCACATTTGTCTTGTGTTTCTGCCATTTTTGCACTGTGTTTAATGGTGTTCAAGATAATTATTGAATAGGCCAGTTATTGATTTTTGTAAATGATTACATTACCTCCTTTGCAGCTACTTCACCAGACAGCGATTTTGCTCATTTATTACTGTATTGATTCATCACACGGGGATGCATGCATTTATTGGATATCCTTTTGCCAATTTTTTGGCATAAATGGCCTCGTAGCTAGTCCCTCAAAAAAAAAAAAAAAAAAAAGAGAGAGGGAGAGAAAGAGAGAGACTTCAGGCCAGCCGCAGCACATCTTTTAGCATGAAGCTCATGAAGCTAGACTTTAGTTGCATCATGGAGATAGTAGGTAGTGGTCACATTGTGTCATAAACTGCTCGTGCTAACCAAGTCAACCCTGTATTGAACCTCACACTATGACGGTGCTTTTGAAACGTGATCTCATGTTGCCAAAGCAGTCCTTTTGTCAAGCTTTATTCAGCATATGTTTTTCCATGTTCTGCGCAGATTCAGCTAAGCATGTTCGCTTTGCTGTTCCTCTTCTAGAAATAGGACGGGTCTCTTTGGCCTTATGTGCTCTCATAGTCCACTGTTAGCTTGGCAAACATGGTGACAGTTTGAATGCAGGCATCAGCGGTGTGTGGCACCACATGGATGCTGTTTACAGTTTTCATGGTACAAATAGGCACATGCTTCGTGTTAGAAGCGATAATAAACTCTGCACATACTCAAATTTGGTCATGCTAAAAGGGGAAAGCACCCTTTTATTGTACCTGCAAAAAATGTAATTAAAGAAGAAAGACAACATTTCAATGTGAGTACTTTTTGGAAGTTCATGGGATAAAATTTATCACAGATGTATGGCTATGCCATTGTGCTGCATTACGCATGAGGAACATTTGATAATATTGCAATAAATTTGGTGACTTGTAAGAGCTTGGTATTTAATTGAATTTTTCAAATAAATCTCTTTCCTACGGGCCATCTCTCATCATTTCAGGATGTCAAGATTAGTGGAATAATGGCAGTAAAAAAAAAAAACATATTCATGGAGTGAATGATGATGAGTGGGGCGAAGCGTTCGGAGCCCGTTCGTCCGTGCAACCATTCGTGCGTCCATCCATGCATCTGTCTGTGCATCCGTTCGCGAGTCCATCCGTCTGTCTGTTCGTGCATCTAACCATTCGTTCGTCTGCTAGTCTGTCTGTCTGTCTGTTCGTGCTTCCATGTAGTAAACACTCCAAGTACCGCCATCTCCTATCTCGCATCCCATGTGGCACATACCCGTTCTAGAGCAGGTATGTGCCACCAGTGGCTTCATACTACTACATACATACAAGAGATGGACAGACCCACACCTTAAGGAGCTTCGCCCCTAAAAAACAAGAGTTATTATTATACAATTGTGTGTGTCACATAATCAATTCATGGTGATGTGCTACTGCTACATAGAGGATTGTATTTATGCTGGCTCTGTTGTTTTACTTTTTGAAGCTCTATTGAATTTTTTTTCTTTTTTAGGGGGCTATGTCATTGTAGTGATATTGCTTTTGCAGCTTCCAGCTTTCTCTTGGTGCTTACAGGCTGCTTGTTGCTTTAAAAAAATGGGTTCTCTCTTTCTTGTGTCTCATGCAGTTCCTGCTTATTCTTTTTCTCCTCTCAGTATGTCATCATGGCTAAACTTTAAAAAGGGCAAGGTACGTTCTGCTGCATCTTTATGTGCTTTTTCTATGTGTTCTATGCTGCATGTTTGCCTGTTCATGCTTGAATTACTTAATACACAAAGCCTGTGTACTTGAGACATCACTGGGTTTGATTCTTACCTTGTGCCTGACTTGCTGCTGTGGCATCAATAGCGGTATCAAGATATTAAACAGTTACATGTAGTATGAGTTGTAGCTTTATTAATAAATACCCAAGCGTGGCTTCACACAGATAACAAAACCTTACATAACCGTATGACAATCAGTGTGTACATCCAAAGAAAACACTCAAAAAATAACGCTATATCTACCCATTTATGTATAGGATTTTTTTATTTTACAAGGCTACGGATGCATGATTCTGTTTCTTTTTGTATGTGCCAAGCCTCGATAATCTCTTGAGTTGACTGATTACGTTGTGGCACATACAAAAAGAAATAGAATAATGCATCAGCTTTCGCTTGTAGCCTTGAAAAAATAAAGAAATCGTATACATGAATAGGTAAATATATTGTTTTCTGTGTATTTTCTTTGGATGCCCACACCGGTTGTCTTACGTTTATGTACGGCTTTGTTATCTGTGTGAAGCCACGCATGGGTATATATTGATGTTCTGCATATGTAGATAAAAGTTCAGTTCATAGTTTTATTGGCTATGTAATCATAGTAAAAATTTGGTTATAATTAATTTGACAGGCATGGTTCTACAGGCAAGCAGGATAAATCTCTCTCAATGATTTTGAGCAGTTGCTTTCACAATGCTGGCAGGACAAGAAGCGCTAACAGGGGGGAGCTGTTGCTCACTTTGCTGTTTCCAAAAGTTGGGTTATGCGACCTCCAACAAAGTTGCACACATCAGAACATGAGCCATTTGGTTCACCTTGAGCCATTGCAACCACTGCAGATTACTTCCTAAGGTATGGTGTGTTTATCTGCACAGCCAAGCTGAAGGTGGCAACATGTGCTCTCTAGTTCTAACTTGTGGGGTCATGGGTTCTAACTTGTGGGGTCATGTGACTTCAGTCATTAGCTACCTGTGAATAATACAGCGTGCATTGAACCACCATTCTCTTTAGCTCATTCTCGCTCATTTTACTTTGTATCCGCGGCATACAACTCGGAGGCTGCACTTGAACTTTATATGGATTGTCATGGGGGGGGGGGGGGGGGGGGGTAACTAAAACTTTGCCTAGTGCCATTTATGACAATACTCTCATTAGTGGCCAACTCTGTCTTCTCAGCTTGGCAATTAGTTAAAATTTTTTAACTGCATGCATTTTCTCTTAAATTGCCAAATTTTCCTCCTACAGGATTTTGAGAAGTCACTTTTCATGTGGCGTCTGCATATATGTATACCCAGACTTGAAGGAAGTTAGTATGCATAGGATGATTATGACTAAAACTGATGGTTACAGATGAGTTTACCCGTGGGATAATACCTCAAAAATGGTATTAATTGTTGAAGCATCTGGATCAAACAGGTCTTCATGAATTTATTCGATGCCTTTCTGCATATTTTATAGAAATTACCGATGCCCGATTTCCCAAATTAGGTAAAAGAAAGCACAGCAGTTCTTGGTCAGAAAAGTATGGTTTGGTTCTTCGTTTTGCCATGATACATCCATGATTCCATGAGAACAGTGAGCAAAATGAAATAAAAAGCAGTCCTAATGAGCAGAAACTGAGCTAAACCAATCTATGCATAATCACAGCTTGTTTGTACTGTAGTTGGCTTGAATGTACACCTTAAGCATCTCTCTGTTTTTATTAAAATAATGTAGTATAGTGGAAACTTCAAAGTCTACTGAAACACAGCACTGCAGGAAAGATCCATGTACATTACCAATGCTTATCACTTAATTTTAAACAGGAAAAACAATTTGTCTTGGCTGCCATGAAGGGCAATTTTCGTAGTAACTCTGCGTGGTTTTCACTAGTCTACATCGGTGAGAAAAAAAAATGGGGCAAGGCTTACACCATCAGCAGCACGAAAAGTGGGCTCTTGTGCGCAAGTAGTAAAGGCTAGAATTGCAACACAAAAAAGTACCTGCTAGAACATCATGAACAGGGGCCAGGAGCTGCTGGGAAGATATGGATCCTATAACTGGGGAACCACCCTGTCTGGTTCCTTCGTGCACCACCAACATAGTTGGGCTCAATAAATGGTGATTCATCATCATCATTTCTCCCTAGCAGAACCCATAATTCTAGCAGGCGGAGTGGGTGGGACGATGGGGGGAAACGAAAGCATTGAAGGCAACTTATGTAGCTGCTTCTAAGTCTATTGACACAAACCTCTGTTCAACAGTCTGCCTTAAGTAGACTGCTGAAGAGATGCTCTTTCGTGGTCAAGGCAGTTTCTAAGTTCATTGGAAGGTCTCAATGCAAGTCGCTCATTGTTCCTACAGACATATAACCAGTCAGTTTTTTATACAGGCAGGATTCGAGAATGGTTAGAGCAAAGTTCTGCTATGTAAATGTATTACGACGAACTGCAAGAAAGATACCTGTTATTTCAAGCCTCAACAAAAACTTCTCTACTAGCATCCTTAGTGATGAAATAGGAGATTATAAACAAGCATATTTTACAAATCATATGTTGTGGTTGCTGTCAAATGCCTCATTGATATGAAGGCTCCTAGTCCTTGTAGATTTTTTGTACTTAATACATACATTGAATATTTGCAGACTTATTTTGGTTACGTTTTATGAGGTTTAGTGGACTAATTGGTTTTGCACTGAGTTAACTTTTGACAAAAAGCATTATATCACTAAATTACTAATTGGTTTCTTTTATTAGCACTTATAAAGTTTCGTTTTATTTAGTTTTTTTTTATCTTTTTTTTTTCTGGTCAGTTTGGAAAGCCTGGAAGTTCCTGTGGCCAAATTTCATGCACCAGATGAAAATTGCTGCACTTGCGACTTCAACTTGGAGTTGCAGGAGTATCTCTTGAGTTTTGAAGATCTGCCCGCATCAGATGATGATCTCTTTACTTTGTCTAGCTTGAGTGACAATGGGGATGGCATCAATATTAAGAAGGTACAGCAAAATTTTTACCTTCTTAGTTTTTAACTTCATACTTCAATATTGTAAAGCTTGTTAATAATGCATGATGCTTATAACTCCTATTTGCTTTCTAAGCCACTAGTGAGATCACTCTTTTTGTGCATGTTTTATTTACTTCATTTTCTCACTCGTTAGTTTTCATTTTCTCAATTTCAAATCAACAAATATAGAAGCAGACTACTTTAGACTCTCGTTGAACCAAACCTGAAGGGACGAGGAACATGTGTTCCATACAAAAGGATTTTCGTTTACTGAGAGATAAACTAGGGTGTGGAATCCAAGTATGAAACCGATCGTGCTGGGGGGAGTTGTTCTAATTAAAGGGACCCTGAAACAGTTGTTTGAAGTTTCATTAGCGTTTAGGCTACAGCATCATCAAAGCATCTGCACCACAAATTGATCAACACGTCATGTACGAAGACCGCTACGGACAATTATATTATACCCTCCTTCTCACCTCTCCATTGCCTCCTCAACTCATGAGACGTGCTGGCGACGCTGGCAATCATAGAGCTCCCATGAGTTCACTCGGCGATTTTAGCTTCGCCTAGTCTGACATGGCACTCCGAGATGGCACATCGACAGATTGCGCGCTGTCTCGGAGGCCATCACACAGTGCACCCGGCAGCATGCTCGCCGTCTGGGAACAGAGATAATGATCATGGAGTGGTTGATATCTGCTCCGAAACATGCCGCCACTCTACCAGGTCAAACTTTACCGCCCAATCCGACTTCATCACGTTTACTGCCAATCATATCAGCCGCCTCGGTGACGTCGCATTACCAGAGCATATCATTCTGTGAATGGGTGGTTGAAAATGCGTTTAGCTGAGTCACAGTAATTTTCAGTGATTCACAGCTTTAAAGCATTGTAATAAATTACACAGCTTATGCAGAGAGTTCAAACCGGTCTGTAAATTACCCTTAGGACTTCGTCTACTGGCCGAATGTGTTTATACAAAATCGTCAATACCGTTTCAGGGTCCCTTTAAGCACATGGCCAAGGAGGAGGAGCACCTTAGGCTTTCGCGCACATGTCATCACATGGAAACATTTTTTCCAAAGGTACACCAGCGCCGCGTGTTTGCCACGTGGCGTTCTGATTGGCTGCGGCAAATCGGCAAGCCTCGGTGGGCGGCAAAAAATTGCTCGGGGAGCGATTGAATTTGTTGCCTCGTTTTCTGCCTACTTTCGCCTCCTGGAGACGAGGTTTTCCCTGCTTTGCGCATTGCCTGCCGCTCCTTTGGTGTGAACGAGCCTTAATAGCCTGAGGCAGCTTGTATGCCAAGAGCGTCAACAAAAAGCACGCTGCCGCATCAAATAAACACGAGATCCCTCTTATTGCTTCTGCTCTTCAAAAAACGTGAATTACATACTTCTTTGCAAAAAAATAATTTCTGTTTTCACTTGTAAATTTTTAAAACTTGTATTTTATTTACTACGAACTTCAGGATATAGCAAATGGATGCCACGTCACACTCAGGTTCGTTATAAGTGGGCTTGAAGCTGTACCAGAAGGCTGAGTACATAAACGGAATCACTCAGCAGAATGTGGTTCGTTCTATGTAATGTTCCCAGGTGGCTGTTCAGCTTGCTGTTGACATAATAATCACACAGCAATAGCAACAAAATTCCAAAGCTTAAAAGGGCCTGGCTGGCGTGTGTGTTTTGCTTTGTGTTAAAGGAGTACTGACACAAAATTTTGAAGGTGAGATAACTTGGGTAGATATGTATGGATACATATGCATAATCTATAAAATATTAATGGATAATATAGCTTAGAACATATTTAAAATAAATTTGAAAGTGCGTGTCCCCGCATCGCACTCTTAAACGTTCCTCCAGTTTTCTTGTAAACAATAGACTGCCACCTGCATCACTCACGAGTATGGGTTGGCTGCCATGATTTTTGCGAGCACTCTCTCCTACTAGACCTTCAATGGAAAAAGGGGGCAGGCTTGCACAGCAGTACAAAGGCTGATGTCTTTGTCTGGGCAACGCCTATTCAAGGAGTCACGCATTTACATGTCGGAGAGAGCCTTTGATGAGAAGAGTTGTCAAGGCCGTGCTCATGTGCATGCGTTTTTTGTGTTCATGTAGCTAGCCATGTCCACATGAAAACCACTCTGAGTACCATTTCACTCAGCACTCTCTTATACCAATACTCCAACTGGGCAGTATAAAACCATTTATAAATAATTAGGCATTGCATGCTTGAGCAAACAAACTTTCTAGGGTAATAAGTAGGTCCTTAGCTACTAGTTGCCTCAGAAAAAACAAGGTGCAATATTTCAGTGCCATTGCTTTTTTAAAAGTGAGGTGCCGACGTTTTTCAACTAGTAAGGTCTGGAAGCCCGAAGTGCATGCAGTATTGAATGCAAAAGGTGGTATGAAGTATAGATTACAGCTTTGGCACTGCTGTGAACATTTTGATTTGTCTGATTTGTCTTTTGTGTTGCTTGGTCCTCTTGAATGTGCATGAATCAGCCCAGTTCAGTGCACAAAATCATGCTGCGCATATACGTGCAATTTTTTTCTTTTTTCAGCAGTACAGATTTTTTTAAATAAATATCTTCTGACAGTGAGGTTACAGCTGACTTAGCACATGAAATCCACGTGGAGGTGGAAATTGGGCGCGAGGCCCACCACCAGAGGCGCGAGCGCTGCAATCGCTGTGGCGTGCTGGGTTGGATCACGTGGTCTCGCCTCGCTCTGGCGAAGGAAAGCTGACCACCGGTTGGATGCATTGTTTTTAACTGCAACTTCGCAGTGTTTTCATTTTTGAACAGCATTTTATTGCTCTGACTAAGGTGCGCGAAGTTCTGCAGACTACACAATGCGAAAAGTCGCAGTACAAATTACCGGCGGCGTGCCACAGTTCACTGCATATGGGATGCCACTTTCACGTCCGCTGGCAGTGCAGCCAGAGTCCTTCAATACTTTTACAAAAAGTATTGAAGGACTCTGGTGTCACTGTCACCTCTCTCTTTGTTGTGGTTATTTAGAGCCCATTGGGTTAAAATGGGCACAGACCATGAATGTTCGCATAAAAGCAGGTCGTTTCAGTTTCCGCGCAAGAGCCTCATTTTCAATGAAAACTGAATGTGCAGACGGTCTGATGTGTATATTTTAATATAGGACATAGGAGCGTACTTGTGAGGGAAGTTGCCGATATTACATTCAAAATGCGTTGTCTGAATTGTCAGGGAGTCGAGATAATCCAGAAGTTCAATTCTTTTCTGTTTATTTTCACTATTTTCACCCTATTTCGGCCTATTTTGTGGCCAGTTGCATTTGTGTGTTTGGCCAGCACATTCGACGAAACCTTTCTTACATCAAACATGTGCTGCTCCTGTCTTTCTGAAAGCTTACTTCTCTCGCCAAGGTAGCTTTTACCGCAGTCTGCGCAACCACCATTCTCTTCCGCGGGTGTCCGTTCCCGTCTGTGTATACGACCATACGGGTTTCCATCTGCCATATTTCCCGTGGTATATGCGCACTAAAAAATGGTCTACCACCTCTGCCTGTCCGAACTCTAATTAAAGTGGTGTCCCCCCCCTCCCCCATGGAAAAATTTCTGCCAACGCCCCTGCCATCCGCGACTTCAACTCACAGATTTTAATTCCTTGCTTATATATTGTCTGTAGAATGGGCCCATGGCCACTATCGCTTTCTCTCAATGTTGTTTTGATCTACAGGTGTGAACCTGGTCAGCTTCAAGAACTGATTCATCTTCTAAGAGCTGCCGTGAAATATAACACAGCCTATGAATGAAGCTGAAAAAAAAAAAAAGAAAAAACTAGACATTGGCAATTTTACTGAATAATGAAATTGCCGTTTATATCACGGTATGCAAGACCTCGCAGTATGCACATTCAAGGATGCAAAATGATATGACTGGCTAATAACATTTTTTTTATCTTAATTTACTCCGTTACAGAAGCTCTGGAACTGAACCAATCATTCATAATTTTCACCCATGTGTGGCTCAATGGTGATCGAATGTGCAACGTGTGACTACCATAGAAATTTTGCACAATAAATATTAGGATCGTGCCACAGAGAGAAGTTACAACATTGAATGAGGCACACGTGTGTGTGATTCTCACATTTGCCCGCAATGGTAATAGAAAGGTTGTGGCTGTAAGAATGCTGTGTTGTTTCCCACAAAGTGCGGAATCTGATTGCACTGTGCTACGTAGGGCTATGTGGGCTAAACAAAAATGTAGTTTGCACATGCTTGTCATGTCAACCGCGGCCCATCTTTAGAAGCAAACCTACAGTGAATGAAGTATATAGCGTGGTTGCGTGCATTTTTCGCAGCACAGATTAGTCTCTTTGCAGTTAATATCCATTAAATACTTCAAATCGGCACTGAGTGAGTTGAGCCGGTGCGCTCGGATCTCGTGGTTTTCATTCAGGTGGTCATAGCAGACGACGCCAGCAGTCAGGCATTATGAGAAGCGTTAAACTTTTCTAGGGCAGTTATTTAGCACTTCCTACAGGCAGGGAAGAAGCTGCAGCTGTAGTTTACTGATTTCATTGAGTGAAGTACAACAAGAAAATAACAAAAAGAGGAGACCCCAAAGCGGCTGTGGGCTGCGCGTGATAGAGCGGCAAAGCAATCCAACCACGTACGTCACAGGGAGGCCTCCGCAAGGAGGCGCCATAGGATGTCCTCGCGCCCAACAAAATGCTGCAATTAAGATGATGCCGTTAGGACTAACAAAAATTAGTTAACTAACTTTTTAATTATTGAAGGACAGATGCTCTTCCTATGAAGATGTAGTGCGTGCCAATTTATGGCGTATCTATTTTTTTAGAAATCTCGAATGTTGCATGTGGTGAGAGATATTCATCATCAAACTTGATAAGCGAAATAGAGACGGATCGTGGAGATCGTGCACAAATTAATTCTGGAAGGAACTCTGGCCATTTGCACAAAAGTTTGTATTTTATTTGATGCCAATGGT